GACGATCAGCCAAGTAGCCTCCTCCTACTTCCATCTTCCATGTTTATGTTCTCTTTCAATTTTTAATTTCACAGTCCAAAATAAAAGTGGGTCTTTACACAACTTTATGCTCAGCACATAAAAAGACAGGGAAATAGCTCAAGGAAGAGTTGTGTAATTGTAATAACATGGAAAATGTATGCCTCTGCCATACTGTTAATGTCCTCTTCACTTGCTGAATCTGTGTCCATTATTTGAAACTGCATTCAAAAGTTTGATCTCCCTATATTCTGTCCCTCTATTCCAGTTGATCTGCCAAACACCTTAAATCTGTCCCCTCTGGTTACTAAATAGTCTGCCAATAGAAACAACTTGCCCCACCCCTCTCCCCTTTATTTCCTCACCACCCCGTTACTCGCTCTCAACCACCTTTACAACTTTCAACACCTCAATTAAATTTCTGCTTAACCCTTTCTGTTCCAAGGAGAAGAATCTAAGCTTCTTTGGTGTCTCCCTATTACTGCCATTTAGGGCTGCTACCAATCTAATCAATCCCTCAGGACCCTCTCTAAAACCTCGTTATCGTTCTTAAATTGTGGTGCCCAAAACTGGTCATAGTGCACAAACGATTATTAAAATTTAGTATCATTTTTGTGCTTTTAAACTTCACACATTTTTTGAAAAGGCAAAGATCCTTTATGACACTTTTAAACAGCCTCCTCAAGATGCTCAATAGTCATCTTTGCGATATTTGTCAAAGCTTTCTGCATTTCTAACTTCTCCTCAAAAGATCATGTTTAACCAGCACAACTTTCAGTTCTGAAACTCAAATTCTGCGTAATATTTTTCTTGCTGTCCTCCATTAGCTCAACTGACATCCTTACATTTCTTGTTCCAAATGAGATCATTTCACACATTCTCTACATGAAATTGCATCTGCCATCTATGTTCTGAAGACTTACTACTTTCATTTTCTTTACTCCATTTTCCAGATGCTGCTTATTGCAAACCCAAATAATGCCCTTAAAATATATAAAACAACTGACCGGAGGGTCTCCACTGTATGTATTTCTCTACTTGCAAAACAATATTTCATGACTTCTCTTCGCTCTCTATCTCAACAATATTGATAACAATTCTACACTGCAATGGATGTGGACATGGCTTTCAAAAAGGCATTTGATAAATATGCAATGTCCTCATCAAGCCCGTTACTTCAAACAGCTCAACTAAGTTAGTGATGCACAGCTTGCTTTTAACAAGTGTGCGTTCATTTATTAATACACATTTTTTCCAGCTGTCACTTCAGTATGTCCTGGGTTAATGTCTTTAACTTTCTCAGTTACACTGACTACCCTTTTGTTACTAGATTTATCCTTCTCCATTGAAGATGTAAAGAACTGTTATAATAGTGAGTTCCATGACACACCATATTTTGAAGAAAGCGGGAGAAGCAATCTTCAATATTACTGATTTAAGTATTAATTTCTCACTTATTGACCAGGATAAGAAATAAATGGAGTAATGAGAATTACATTTCAAAACATGCAGAACCATCGAGAAACTAAGCTTGCAAGGCCAGCAAGTTGCAACATCTTGTAACAAATTAGATTAGGTAGATGAGTTAAACATAAAAAAGTTCAGTGCTGTATGATTTCACATTAGTGACCAGAGTAGGACGGGGTACAAGGAGAAAAAGTTCCAACAAAATTAGGGCAGCAGATTGAATCAGGTCAAAGTATTAGGAAACTGTGTTTGAAGACATTTTGAAAGGGCAGTAAGTAGTGATGAAATTCATCACAAGCCCAAATGCCCCATTTTCAGTTCCTTTATCTTTCCTTAAATTACTTATTCTTAAATTTACCTTTCATGTTGATACGGTGTTTCAATCAAGTGAATTTTACATCCTCATAATTCTGCAAAACGTCTTCCACTCTCTGCCCTAATCTCTTACAATTATACTTGTAACTATGATGGCTCAATCACCAAAAAACCAACCAGCTGTTTCTACTGTCCCAATTTTAAACAGCTTTATTGAATATCTCATTCTCCCATTACAAGGGAAACTGAGCCATTTTTTTCAAGGCTTTATCAATTGCCTTTTGAAAATTCATAGATACAAAATTCACCATTTCCTTCATAAATGTATTTCCTCAGACAGCTTTTAACTTGGTCTTTTCTTACAAAACCACTTAAATAATCACTTCAGTAATTCATGCCTTTAAATATTCTTGTTTCAAGTAGTATTATTAGAATCAGCAGTGACATCTTAAGTTCAGACACAATCCAGTCTTTCACTGTAAATAGTTTTGCCAACCTTTAGAAAAAAAAATAGAACTGTGGATGCTGTAAATCAGGAACAAAAAGCAGAAGTTGCTAGAAAAACTCAGCAGATCTGGGAAAATGTGTGAAGAAAAAAAACAAATCAGACAGTTAACGTTTCGGGTCCGGTGACCATTCCTCAGAACACGATTCTGTTGCCAACCGTTAGAACGGATTTTAATGACAATTTAGTTTCCACCACAAATGCATTGCATTGTGAAGGAACTAACAGCAGAATTTGTCTTCCATCAGTCAGGCCAGTATTCCTGCAGGGCCAACAGATCAGGTCATCGCACTGAGCTCTTATTACAGGTTGTGCAATGCTATTTGTCACCGACTGCATTCTCACATTAAAATCTAATTAGCGGTCAGCCAGTAAGCAACTCCTCAGATACAGAAGCAGTTCTTGATTACATGCAGCAACATTCAAGCATGAACTAATAAGTGACAAGTAACACTCATGCCACAGAAATGCCAGAAGCAGCAATGGCCATCTCTGACAAGAGAAAATCTAATCATCTCCACTTGACATTTAACAACATATCCTTAATGAATCCCCTACCATCAGCACCCTGAAAGTTACAACTGACCAAAAACTTTAAATAGGTCATTCACAAATACAGCATTTATAAGAGCAGGCCACAGGCAAGGAATTTAACAGTAACTTACTCCTGACTACCTCTTGGAGATGGTGGACAAACTTTGAGCAGTCAGGAGGTATGATGGAATACTGTCCACATGCCTGGATGAGTGCAACTTGAACAATCAAGAAGCTTGTCACAGTCAGGACAAAGCAGCTTGCTTAACTGGCAGTCCATCTATTGCCTTAAAAAGTTACTCCTTGTACCACCAGTGCAGAATGACAGCATTGTGTGCCATATACAATGCACTACTGCAACACAAGAAACTTCCTTCCATAATATCTTCCAAAACGGAAATCTCTACCACCTAGAAAAACAAAGGCAAAAGGCATATAGGAACAACATCAGTTGCAAGTTCCCTTTAAAGCTGCACTTCATCCTGACTTGGAACTATATTGATACTCCTTTACTGTCACTGGATAAAAATCCTGGAATGCCCTACCAGTGTTGTGGGTGTATCTACAACAGATGCACTGCAGCGGTTGAAGAAGTTCACTATCACCTCAAAGTCAGTTAGGGATGGCAAAGAATAGTGATGCTCACATCCCACATACAAAATCGAAACAACACGGAGTTTAAAACTGTTTAATTGAATCTGGTGATACCTTTTTAAAACTACAGAGTAGTACTATATGTGTGTACAAGTTAGGTTACATTATTAACATTTTAGTTCATCATTTGCAAATAACTCTGGCTACTGAACAGAAATTTTCACTCAATTGCAATCTAACCACTGCAAGCAATGGTCTTTGTACAATGAAAATTTCAAAATCTGACAGCAGAAAACATGGTGTCCAATGCGACTTCTTTCTTTTGATTTCTTCTGACAGGCTGAACTGCCTGCGTGGCACTTGCTATTCCAATCAATGCTGCTGCAGCATGACCTGTAGATCATCAGGTAGGGAGCTGATTACTGTTTCCAAGTACAATTCCAGTTTCTCCAGCAAGTCTGCCCTGACTGAGAACTGATGAACCCTTGCTTTTATCTGGACAGGAAAAACACCCATTATATTAAAAAGATAACATGAAAGAATATTGAAAATACAAAATAGTTTGACTTTCAACAGGTATCATAATAGAGAATACAGGGGTTTATAGATGGATATTGTAAATGTTCATTAATACACTTTGCGCGCCCCTCTCTTCTCCTCCTCCACACACACACACACACACACACAAAAAAAAAACTGGGATTGAGGTGGATCCCTCAATAATTGAAAAGACTATTAAAGTCTGCAGCATTAGAACATTCTATTTTTATTGAGAGGACCAGAATACATAAGGGTGGAAGCTTCTTCCATCTTCACAGATCTCTGCAGAGACCCCATCTGGAATACTGAATTCAGTTAGAGGCATTGTACCTCCATCACGATACATTAGTTTTGGAGGTGGTATAGTACAAATTCAAAAAGGAATGGTACTAGGGCTTGAAGACTTAAATTATGACAACAGGTTGCATCTACTAAACATTTATGTACATTCAAAAGAGATACAAATTAAACAGTGATCTAATAGAGGCGTTTAAGATGATTAAAAACATTCAATGCAATATACAGAAACTATAATAAACATCCCAGAAAAAAAAAAGGGACATACACCTGACAATTAGAGCTTGGTCATTCAGGGTGATGTTAGGAATCACTCCCTTGTGTGAAGACTAGTGCAATCTGGAATTCTCTTCCAAAAATTCCAAAACAAAGATTGTGTGTGTTTCAATTAAGTGACCTTTTACTTTTCTAAACTTCAGTGGATACGAGCCTAGCCTGTATAACCTTTCCTCACAAGACAACCTACCCATTCGTGGCATTAGTTTAGAAAAACTTTTTTTTTTTTTTTTTTTTTTTTTATTCATTTGGGGGATGTGGAGGTCACTGACTGGCCTACATTTCTTGCCCATCCCTAGTTGCCCTTGAGAAGGTGGTGGTGAGCTGCCTTCTTGAACCGCTGCTGTCCACCTGCTGTGCGTTTACCCACAATGCCATTAGGGAGGGAATTCCAGGATTTTAACCCAGCGGACACAGTGAAGGAACGGTGATATATTTCCAAGTCAGGATGGTGAGTGACTTGGAGGGGAACTTGAAGGTGATGGGTGTTCCCATACGTGTGTTGCCCTTGTCCTTCTAGGTGGAAGTGGTCGTGGGTTTGGAAGGTGCTGTCTGAGGATCTTTGGTGAATTTCTGCAGTGCATCTTGTAGATAGTACACACTGTCGCTACAAGCATGGATGGTGGAGGGCGTGGATGTTGTGTCAATCAAGTGGGCTGCTTTGTTCTGGATGGTGTCAAGCTTCTGAAGTGTTATTGGGGCTGCACACATGCAGGCAAGCAAGAAGTATTCCATCGCATTTCTGACTTGTGCCTTGTAGGTGGCGGACAGGCTTTGAGGAGTCAGGAGGGGAGTTACTTTCTGCAGTATTCCTCTCTTCTGACCTGCTCTCGTAGCCACTGTGTTTATGTGGGGAGTCCAGTTGAGTTTCTGGTCAATGCTAACCTCCAGGATGTTGATAGTGGGGTATTCAGTGATGGCAACACCATTCAATATCAAGGGGTGGTAGTTAATTTGTCTCTTATTGGTGATGGTCATAGCCTGGCATTTGTTTGGTGCAAATGTCACTTGCCACTTGTCAGCCCAAGCCAGGATATTGTCCAGATCTTGTTGCATGTGAACACGGACTGCTTCAGTATCTGAGGAGTCATGAATGGTGCTGAGCATTGCTCAATCAATCAATCAATCATCAGCGAACATCCCCACTTCTGACCTTATGCTGGAGGGAAGGTCATTGATGAAGCAGCTGAAGATGGTTGGGTTGAGGATATTACCCCGAGGAACTCTTGCAGAGATGTCCTGGAGCCGAGATAATGCACCTCCAACAACCACAACCATTTTCCTCTGTGTCAGGTATGACTCCAACGAGCGGAGATTTTGCCCCCTGATAACCATCGATTCCAGCTCTGCTAGGGCTCCTAATGCCACACAGTGTTGAATGTGGCCTTGATGTTAAGGGCTGTTGCTCTCAGTTCACCTCTGGAACTCAGTGCTTTTGTCCATGTTTGAAAAGAGATTGTAATGAGGTCATGAGCTGAATAGCCTTGGTGGAAACCAAACTGGGCATCATGGAGGTTATTTCTGAGCAGGTGCTGCTTGTTAGCACTGTTGATGACTCCTGCCATCACATTACTGATGATTGAGAGTAGACTGATGGGGCGGTAATTGGCCCGGTTGGGTTTGTCCTGCTTTTTGTGTACAGGACACACTTGGGCAATTTTCCACATTGTCAGGTAGATACCAGTGCTGTAACTGTACTGGAACAGCTTGGCTAGGGGAGCGGCAATTTCTGGAGCACAAGCCTTCAGTACTATTGCTGGAATATTGTCAGGGCCCATAGCCTTTGCAGTATCCAGTGTCTCCAATCATTTCTTGATCTCACGTGGAGTAAATCCAAATGGCTGATGACTGGTATCTGTAATGCTGGGGACCACTGGAGGAGGCAGAGTTGGATCATCCACTCGCCACTTCTGGCTGAAGATTGCTGCGAATGCTTCAGCCTTATCTTTTGCACTGATGTGCTGGGCTCTTCCATCATTGAGGATGGGGATATTTGTGGAGCTTCCTCCCCCAGCGAGTTGTTTAATTGTCCATCACCATTCACGACTGGATGTGGCAGGTCCGCAGAGTTTAGATCTGATCCATGGTTAAGTGATTGCCTAGTCCTGTCTATCACTTGCTATTTATGCTGTTTGGCGTGCAAGTAGTCCTGTTGGTGGCTTCACCAGGTTGATACCTCATCACCAGGTATGCCTGGTGCTGCTCCTGGCTGCCCTCCTGCACTCTCTATTGAACCAGGGTTGATCCCCTCGCTTGATGGTAATGGTTGAGTGGGGATTTGCCATGCCATGAGGTTACAGATTGTGCTGGAGTATAATTCTGCTGCTGTTGATGGCTTACAGCGCCTCATGGATGCCCAGTCTGGAGTTGCAAGATCTGTGCAAAGTCAGTCCCATTTAGCATAGTGATAGTGCCGCACAACAAGATGGAAGTTATTCTCCATGTGAAGACGGGACTTCGTCTCAGAATTCCACAGAATTCCGTAAGATCAAATTTAATGTATCCACTAATTTCTGTTCTGTCTTTTAAAATATATATGTTATGAAGTCCAGCAAAACTGTTGGCTTTTAGCTGCATTAATTTTGACAGCACTTTTTCTTTATTAATATCAAATATTTTCCTCTCATACTATATCTCTAAGGAACACTTGGTAGTGAGACGTGCAGTACAATTTCAAAATAATGGTACTAGGACTTGAAGAGTTAAATTAAGACAGGTTTTATTTACCGACATAATCTTCTTAGAATATTGAAGTTTACGGGTGATCTCACAAAAGATGAGAAAGTGATTAAATGATTCAATTTAATACATAGAACCTATTGCCTATGGTGCAGCACCCTGAACAAGGGTCATAAACCATAAAATTAAAGCTTGCCTCCTCTATGAAAGAGTTCCTCACTCTTACAAATCCCTTGGTTCCCCTCCAAACTGTGCCACTCAACACCTTATAAATATCCTTGCCCCTGCAGCAGGGACTTGCACTGCTTGGACCAGTGTACACCCTGCACCTTTCTGCTCCCACTATTCTTGAAATGTCCATTTTTCATACCGTGCACTGGCTTTAAATGGCATGTGTATTGGAGCTCTTGAATGTCTTTGTTCTTCTACAGTTCTTACTTCTTCACTATGTAATTTAACTTGCTTGAGTCCAAAGTGGAATATCTCATTTTCCTACATTGAGCTTCATCTACCATAATTCTGCCCATTCATTTCATTTATCGTCAATGATCCTTCACTACTTCCTGTTTTCAACGACATCATACAACATACTGTAGGACTGTGGAGTTGTTTGGTAGAGTAGCAAGGAAGAAGGGGTGTACAAATAGATTCAGAAAATTATTTTGTGCTTGAGGGAGATTCGGGTTGAAGGATACGCTTTGAAGTTGGATTGATGGTATTGAACTATGAGAAAGGAATCTATTTGTTTAAACCTTATTATTACGCAAATGACAAAATTCTTTCAGCTCGGATTCAACCACTAAGTAGTGTTTCAATGGAAAGACTTTGGCACTATCAATAGGGAAAAATGTCATCTGCATGCTGCATAGAAAACATTTCAGTAAAGACAGTGACAAAGTTTGGTAAACTGCTTATAAATTAGATAACATAGGTTTCATTGGTAGGTAAGAGACAATCACTCAGGTTTGGATTAAAATATGAGATTGGTCATGGAACACAGAATAGGAAGGGAATATGAGTGTGTTAGAAGCAGTTCAAAAAAAGATTCACTTTACTGATTCTTGGGATAGGAGAAGTTTGAAAAGGTGGGCCTGTATTCATTTGAGTTTTGAAAAAATGAGAGGCAATCTTGTTTAAATGTACAAGACTATGAGGATGGATGCTGAAGGGTGTTTCCTCTTGTGCAAAGGACCAGAATTAGGGGACACATTTAAAAATTAGTGGTGTCTATTTAAAACAGAAATTAGAAAAAAAAATCTCTCAAAGGGTCACCAAGTCTGGGAGCTCTCTGACAAGTACAAGCAGATTCCTTGAATATTTTTAAGGCAGTGGTATATAGATTCCTGTGAAGCAAGTGGTTGAAAGGTTATCAGGGACAGTTGGGAATGTGGATTTGAGGGTACAGTCGGATCAACCATGATCTTAATGAATGGCACAGCAAGTTTGAGGGGCCAAAGGGGATATGTAAATTCATAAGCTTGGCATTACCCTTCTGATTTTACTCCACATTCAATCAATGGATCTATCCTGAAGTTTGTAGAAAATAAACAAAGTGACATTTTGAATGAATTTCCTTATACCACGATAACAACCTATAGATACTGACACACTCCGATTCATTGGGAAATGCATGACCAAAGGGAAATATTACCAGTTTCTCACGCAATTTTAAAACCAGGTCCACAACTTCCACTTCAGATTTTTCTTGTACCCACATCAGCAGATCCTAGAAAATAAGCAAGGTCAGTGTACACAGCAAATAGATTTTCACTACTTAGTGACTAAATATGAAATGAACCTAAACTCAAGGAAAACATATGTTGCACGGCAGCAGTTTTGCAAGATGCTGAGAGGTGCAGGTGTTTGTTTTTGATACAATATATAGATCCTGCTTGTCAGGTTATTTGATTGGTTTCAGCATTTAATACAAATTGTTCCCTAGATCCATTGCAATAGAATTGTGTTCTAATGGCTCATTCACTGGATCATTACACTTTTTGATATACATTGTGGACATAGGTATAAAAGGACACAATTTCAAAGTTTGAAAGGTCATGAAACTTGGAAATATAAAAAATGAAGATGGCAGACTTCAAAAAGGACATAGACTGATAATTTCAGATTTCTATTCCCATTTCATGTATTTTATGAGAAAGAATGAGGAGAGACAATAGGAACTAAATGGTACAATATTAAGGGAGTTCAGAAACAGAGACATTTGAGGTGTCCACGCACAAATCTTTGACTGCAGCACACTAAATTGTGAAGGCTGTTAAAAAAGAATAGTTTGGGGTTCTGAGTACAAAAGCAAGGAAGCCATGGTATTCTGAATCTTTATAAATCACTAGTTAAGTCTCACCTGGTGTATCATGTTTATCTCTGAACTTTAGGAAGGATGTCAAGGCCTCCTTGAGGGCACAGAAGAGATCAATTAAAATAATCTTAGGGATTGGGCTCTTCAACTACAAAAAAACCACATAAGCAGCTGGGATCTATCACCTTTCAAAGTTAAGACCAGATTTAACACATGAGTTTTTATTTAAAGAGAAAACTTTCTGCCCAGCTGGATGGTCAACAACTAGTTGATATGGACTTAAGATAATTGGTGAAAACAAAAGGAGGGGAATGAAGGATTGAGGCGAAAAAAATTGTTTTCTTAGAGAGCTGGCTGTTATAATCAGGAATGAGATGTGTTAAAAAGGTGGTGGAAGCAAATTCACTATCAACTGTAAGAAACCTGGATAAATACTTGGAATATGGAGAATACAAGGTTTTGAAAATGCTTGATTCGCTCTACCATAGAGCCAGCAGAGGCATAATGGGCAAACAGCTTCCTTCTATGCTTGGAGATTCTCGGATTCCATGGCCATTAGTGCTGCTACTGAGATAACAGATCAGGACAACTGTCGAATGCTTCCCATAAATTTATTATTGAGGTTTCATTCCATTGATGCCAGATACTGAAATAGGTTTGCCTTCCTGAGCCCCCTCACTGTCACTGTTACTCTTTCCAGCTGCTGATCTAGCTCCCACTTGTGCCCTTTGCCCTGTTCCTGTTTACTTACACCTCTCCCTCTGCCTTGCCCTGGATCAACATCTTGACTTGACGTTATGTATGTGCAGTCTCAGGCGACTGGCTACAATATTAGAAATCTTTTCTAGGCCTCACCATAAATGCAGTGCCATTCATTATGCATTATAAGCTGCAATCTTTCAAAACAGCATATCCTCCAAATCAGCGTGATCAATCCCTCAAGCGATCCACTCATTAAAAGCATTCCTGCATAGTTACTTCAAATTAATTGAATAAAAACTGAACATTAATGAAATTAAAATAAAACATAAAACTGTAAATCTTGGAAATCAAACAAAATAAAATTTCTGAAGAAACTCAATAGGTCTAGCAGCAACATGGACAGAAATCAGAGTTAAAGTTTCAAGTCCAGTGACCCTTCTTCAGAACTAAAATGCTATTAATTCAGCCCAATGAAGATGGATCTGTTGCCTTCTTGCATTAAATTTTTAACCAAACATTCTGTGCAAAACAAAAAAAATGCAAAGCAGAGTACAGAACAAAAACAGGCCCTTTCGTCTGCCAAGTCTGCACTGACTTACTAAACTGAAAAGCTTTTTCCTCTATGCAGTCTGTAGACCTCTACTCCCTGCACACATATCTGTCAAGAAACTCTTAAAATGTTGGTGTTTTACCCACCTCCACCACTTCCTCTAGCAGTGCATTCAAGTATTTACTGTGTAAAAACATTTCCTTTAAACTTACCCCCTTTTACCTTAAGCCCACGTTCCCTAGTGATTGACATTTCTCCTCTCAGGAAAAAGACCAACTATCCATTCTATTCATGCATCTCGATTTTGTAAACTTCTATCAAGTTTGGCATTCAACTGAAAACCAACCACATTTTTCCAATATTTCCTCATAGTTAATACCCTACAAATCTGGCAACCTCCCAGTAAACCAATTCTGTACCTCTCCAAAGCCTTCACAAGCTCCTGACAGTGTGGCAACCAGACCTATACATAATATTGCAAATGTGGCCTAACTAAAGTTCTATACAGCAACAACATGATTTGCCAACTTTTACACTTTATGCTCCAAACAATGAAGGCAAGAATGCCATATGTCTTCTTGACTGCCTTATCTGCTGGTGTTGCTACTTTCAGGGAACTGTAGACCTGTACACCCAGATCCCTCTGTATGTTGATGAGAAGGGTTCTGCCATTCATTGTATACTTCTGAAACAACTGTACAGAGGCCGTATTCTGTCACCAAGTCACCCTTTATTTACTTGTGGCCAGCCAGCTTGGAGTCAGTCCACTGGACTGAAGAGATTCTAAATCTCCTAATTATATTGGCCATCCAGGATTTTCCTGATTGGGGTCATTAATCTGGGCCAATCAAGGATCTCTTAGTCAACAAGATCCAGCTAGTTCCAATCACCATGTCACCACCCCCCAACCGACTAAGTCCTGGGATGTAGGCTTGGTTTTTCCCTTGTAGATCTGGTTCCTCCGGCTCAGACTCTGATACAGGCAGCGTGTACCAGTCTGCAGCCCATCTCTTGTGTCCAGAGCGTGTCGGGTGAGTTTCCTCCTCCTCTTGGACTCTGAGGTTTCCACGACACTAGACAGAGTGGGAGAACCTATGGTTTCCGACAGGCCTTCTGGCTGTTCCAAGGGGCCGGGTATGTTTTGCTCCTGCCCCGTTTGCAAGGTAACAGCTTTCAGTTGATCTGCATGTTTGTTCAGGACTGTATCACCTACCCAAACTTCGTAAGTCAAGAGAGTTGACCACATGTCAACCTCACCTCGTATCCATATAGGGCCATTTCCATGGTTCCGGCACCAAACTTTGTTCCCCAAATTTTTTTCTTCTTTATTCATTCGTGGGATGAGGGCGTCGCTGGCTAGGTAGCATTTATTGCTCAGAGGGTGGTTAAGAATCAACAACATTGCTGTGGGTCTGGAGTCACATATAGGCCAGACCAGGTAAGGATGGCAGTTTCCTTCCCTAAAGGGACATTAGTGAACCAGAGGGGTTTTTCCGACAAATCGGCAACGGATTCATGGTCATCATTAGACTCTTAATTCCAGATATTTGTTGAATTCAAATTAAATGATCTCCCTCGCTTAGAGGGGGCCTTCGGCCAGCAATGGCATTCCTGTTGCCATTTCACCCTCTGCCACCATCCAGGTCTGGAAATATCAGGTTTAATCAGGTGCGGAGTCTTTGCCCCATCAGCAACTCTGCTGGACCTATCCCAGTTGTTGCGTGCAGGATGGTCCTATAATCGAACATGAACCAGGACAGTTTGGTATCAAATGACACTGTAGGCTGCTTCTTTAAGCCTAACTTCAATGTTTGGACTGCTCTTTCCACTAGACCATTGGACGATGGATAGTACGGAGCTGTTCTTACGTGCCAAATGCCATTTGACATCAGGAAATATTCAAATTCCCTGCTGGTAAATGACGTACCATTGTCCGAACTAATACTTCCGGGAGTCTGTGTATGGCAAACGATTCTCAATCGTCATCTGAGTTTGCCAAAAGAACTTTATGCGCATCCAATGTCTTTGAATGGGTGTCCAAAATAACCATGAACATTGAGCCTATTAAAGGACTGGCATAGTCGACATGCAACTGAGTCCAAGGTTTACCCCACCATTCCCACGAATGTGAGGGCTCTGCTGGTGGTAATTTTTGTCCTTGTTGGCACTCTGGGCATTGCCCCACCGACGCAACTATCTCAGCATTCAACCCTGGCCACCAGATACAGCTTCTTGTTAGCATCTTCATCTTGGAAACCCCTGGTGGAGTTTGGCCAGCATCTGACAGTGACCTTTACTTGAGACAATCATCCTTGCTCCCCATTTTAATATGCCGTCCCCTATGGTGATCTGGTCTCACCAGGTCCTGCAAGGTTTCAATCCTGGTTGCGATGACCCTTCCGTTTACCCCTTTACCACCAGCGGTTTCAGTTTTTCTAGGTCAGGATCTTTCTGCATGCACAAACAAATATTGTCAGCAGTAAGAGGTAGGGTGTCCAGGAAGTTTAAAACCAAAAATGGACTCTTCCAAGGAGGCATTGCCAGTAGAGTATCTGCTCAAGGCTTCCTGGATGGTGTTCTAACCTGTATGCGCGGAGAATAAGGGCTCAATGCTGAATTCTACTGGAAGCCATGGGTGGCACCGCCTCATCTTTCTTCAGTAGCCCTAGCAGGGGTTTGTGATCTGTTACAATGACAAATTCCCGTCTGTAAAGATAATGGTGGAACTTCCTCACACCAAAGACGACCACCAAACCTTCCTTCTCTATCTCGGCATATTTTCATTTGCCAAAGTCTGGGAAGCATATGCTATCAGGCATTCCTCTCTGTTGGGCACTGGTGAGCCAACACTACCCTGATACTGTACAGGGAGGCTTCATATGTCAGCACTACCTCTCGTTTTTGGATCGTACTGAGCCAATACCTTAGATGATAGCTGCCTTTTCACTTCCCTAACGGCCGCTTCTTGGCTACATGACCACTTTCAAGGCTGACCCTTTTTCAATAGCAGGGGTAAGGGTGCCAAGATGGGGGCCAGGTTTCACATCAATTTTCCATCAATTCACTAAACCAAGGAAATACCTAAGCTCTAGTACAGATGTGGAAGCCGAGGCTCCTTTGATCACTCTCACTTCATCTTCCAATGGGTGTAACCTGTTTT